TATATATATATATATATATATATATATTAATAATATGATAACAAACATGTTTGTAAATTTTTTTCTTAAAAAGACAATTTTTTAGCTTAAGCATTTTTTTAAATGTTTTTGTCTAAATGGCTTGTTTTAAAATAAGTAAAAAAAAAATAGGAAGTTTTTTTTTATATATAATTGTTTCTTTATGTTTAAACAAACTACCTCAATATGTTTTTACGAGTTATCTAATATAATATAATTAGATTTCACTAGTTCAAATTGGAGATTGAAAATGTAAAAAATTGAGTCAATTCAAATCAATTAAAATTGATTTGTCTAAATTGCTTATTTAAAAATGAACAGTTTTTTTTGAATTTTTTAGGAAGTTTTTTTTTCTATAATTGTTTCTTTATGTTTAAACAAACTAGCTCAATACGTTTTACAAGTTATCTAATATAATAAAATTAGGTTTCATTGGTTGAAAATGGATATTGAAAATGTAAAAGCTGAATCAATTAAAATTAATAAATTGTATTAAAATGCGTCAAATTCAATCCGATCATTCCTGTACAACGACATAGGTGAACACTATCAAAAAAAATTTCATTTACTTGTCAAAGAAGAGATTGCTAAAGAAACATGATAATCCTTCTGTCAACAAGTTGTTAAGTTGAAATAAAATATAATGAAGATAAACCACCTCTGTAGAATGATCGTGACAAATAATGTAGAACTTTGAAGCATCAATTTATCTTAAATAAATAATAATTATATATAATTTTTTAGACCACGACTTTGAATTTTAAAAATGATGATATGAAATGTAAGTGCATGAATTATGTAGACAACACATATAATTTCTTTGTATATAATTATGTTATGGATAGAAGACCCTAACTGATATGAAGAAGAAACAGAGAGCATAATAACGCGTGATATCAGTCGCTTAATTTATGGGCTTTATGGCATGGCCATTATGTTGCATAAAACTTGATAGCATGACTCAATGGCAACGGGCCTCACAAACCCTAACAAAGTCGTTCAAATAAATTATAAAATGTATTCACCAAGGAAAAAAATTTAAGAAAATCTCGGATTAATTTTATTATTGGTTTTTTAGTTTTTACAATTGAAATTTCTCAAAAATTTTATCTCATTGTTATTTTACAATTTTTCTATTATTAATAATTTCCATATATAGTTTCATTTAATTTTTATTTTATTCTTTCTGGGGTTAAAACAAATATTTTAAATCTATTAATAATTACACAATTAATTATAAGGTAATAATTTCTTAATAAACTTATTAGAAACGTAGTAAAATTGAATTCCGCTGTTTCCTTACATAATTAGACTCTCAAATCTAAATTTGATTTCTAAAGATCAATTTTCCGTAAGTAAAAGGGGTTTTCAAATTTTTTACTTTTAAGAAAATTGGAGAAATATCATCCAATAAAAAAAAAGGTTACTGTTATAATAAATTTATTAATTTTTACAAAAAGTGCTTAAATATTATATATATATATATATATATATATATTTATTTGTGATTAGTTGATAATATAAAATATTTATATTGTTGGTAAATAACTTTAAACTTTTTCGAGAGACAACGCATAATTTGTTTCACGACTAGAGTCCTTAAAGTATGGGCATTAGGAATTATGGGCTTTATATGTATATTGTTAGTACATATAAGATTAAATTTTTTCGAGAAACAAGACAATTTGTTTCGCGATTAGAGTCCATAAAGTATGGACATTAGTAATTATGGGTTTGATTAAGGTTAGTTTGGGTTTTTTTTTTTTTTTTTGCATTTTGTAAAAGTAAGGGTGAAGATGTAAATTTATGTCTCGTTCACAAACTCATTCTTTGATCAAGATTAAAAAAAATAACATACTATGAAATTAAAATTAAAATATAAACACTTTTTTTCTTATGAAACTCACTCCGACCACTGTTAGTATTTTTTTTATCTTTATTGTTAACATCTCTACTACTATTATTCTTATTTCTAATATTGTCATATCTATTATTGTTACTACCTAAATCACAATCATTTCACTATTAATAATCTCTAACAACCATTGTTATATGCTTAGGAGATGGTCAAGATAATGGTAATGACAATGTTAATAGCTTAGTTTTAATTTTAATGGTCTATTATTTTTAATCTTATTATCAATTTTTTAAATTATTTATCATTCCTTATAAGTCTTTAGGAAGGGGTCGGGTTTACATGAATTGCATTGGGTTTCATTATGCTCATTATACAAATTGATCAAAATAGTTTTGGTTGAATTAACTTGTATAATTCTTGTATCAAATTTGAATTAATTGAATTAACTTAATAATTAATGGATTAATTTTTTTGTCTATAGATATAATCTATTCAATATATTAAAATTAATAATTAAAGACTAATTTATATTCGTTAAACATAATTTTTATTGATTAAATATTATTTTAAAATTATAAGAATTGATCTAAGACTAATTAATGGATTGATTTAAATTGAGTTTAAGAAATAATAAAAACTATTTAGAAACTAAAAAATATTTTCTTACCATTTTCAAATTGTATTCATGTAGATTATGGAATATTTGCATTGTATAATTTGTGATGTCCTACTTTTCACAATCCATTTTTTTTTTTCTTGTTTTTATATTGTCGATTATTTTATCACATACAAATATCTTTTTTACTTATTTAATTTATCTACCATTATAATTTGGTGTTTCTAGGTTCGATTTTTTTATGAGTATAGATTAGTCTTTAATTGTCAATTTTGAAATATTGTGTCATGTTCATAGATAAAAAAAATGTTATCTCATCATCCTTGTTAACTACAAGAAATATTGATATTAAAAACGAGCAAAATCCATTTGTATTCCATAAAATTCATAGTTACACTCTTTTGTTTTTTTTATTTTAAAAAAAGGGTGTAAATATAGGTCATAACGACTCCTATAGAAAAAAAAAGGTGATATTTTAGGTCATATATAAATGACAAGATAACTTTTATATATCCATTGATAAATTTTCCATGAACATACATATTGAGTATGTTAAAAGAAGTTTCACAAAATAAAAGATTATGTTAGTTGACTCCAGGTTTATATAGAATTGAATTAGGATAAATTATAAATTTAATTTACAAAATTAGTTTTTCTTTGCACAAAATTCCATAATGTATAAAAATTATATCAATTATTTAATTTTTAAAAACCTAAATGTAAAAAAGATTGAATTAGATACCAATTCTATAATGTAAGAACTTCTTTTATGATGATTTTATTAAAATATTATATTAATATTGAAAAATGATTGAAAAGCTAAATTGTCAATTTATTGCATAACAAAACAATAAGAATACATGTTTTTGGTCTGACCTTTTTTATAAGGGTTATTATAGGTTGTAACGACTTTTTTTTGGATTATTATAACTCGTAGCAGAAACACTCTTATTAAAAAAGGATCATTACAATTATAATAACTCTTATAAAAAAATTTGATCACTACACATGATGTTATTTAACAAAAGTCATTATAGTTAATAATAATATTAACGAGATCATTATTATTAATTGTAGCGAGCTATTAAACGGTACCATATTAGTATTGTTATTAACTTTAACGTATGATATCAATACACTTGTGTAAAAAAAAAATCCACATGTCATCTAAATTACTGTGAACCAATACTATACAAAACACCCTGAAAAACATAATAAAATTTTGGTTAAAATTTTAATTTGGTCTCTTATAATATCTTTTTTTTCAATTTAGTCCCACTTTAATTTTTTGTTTCAATTTGGTCTCTAATAATTTAAATTAGTACAATGTCGAACTTCTGTCCAAATTATTTAAACAGAATTAACTATTGGCCACATGAATGTCACGTACATGCATAGGTGGATGCCAAATTTCTTGAATGCACCTGGAACCAGAACGGCCCGTTCTGGTTGCACATGTTGTGTGTTAATTTTGCATCTGGAATGGGTCATTCCAGATGCAAAATTAACACACCAATAGTGCAACCAGAACGAGTCG